CATGAAACTAGAAATCAACTATGGTAAAAACACTCAAAAACATTCAAACACATAGAAGCTAAATAGCATGTTATTAAACAATGAATGAGTTACCAATGAGATCAAGAAAGAAGGCAAAAACATCCTGGAAACAAATGAAAATGAACACAAAACAACCCCAAATCTATCGGACAGAGCGAAAGCAGTCCTGAGAGGGGAAACTCATAGCACTACAGGCCTACCTCAAAAATCAAGAAAAATTTTTAGTAAACTATCTCACCTTACAACTTAAAGAATTAGAAAGCTCCCCTGTGAGGCTGTCCGGACCAGGGCTTTTGTTTTTTGGGAGTTTTTTTTATTGCTGCTTCAATTTCATAAGTTGCTGTTGGCCTACCAGGGACACAGACAGTAGTGAAGGCCTGTGGGGGTGGCGGATCTGGGGTGGAGAGGATTAATGGGGAAAAAGGGTACATCTGTAATACTTTCAACAATGAAAATAAATTAAAAGGAAAACAGAACTAAAACAGCTACTGGCACCCTGGAAACAAGAGCGTGCCAGATACTATTTGTAATATTTGTAAGACAGGAATGAAATGTTTGAATAGTTGTATGAAATTGAATTTGAACTGAACAGTTCATTCAGTTAATTTTTCTTTAAAATTAAAACATTACTTTAATGCTAGACAGTAAACTGTATACAAAAGACTTACAGAATTTCTGAATTGTATTAAATCCACTACATCTAAACTTTTGGGTGTCTAATTTCAATAAGCAGCTTCCTTCCTTTATAATTTTGTATATATATCAATTTGAAATAAAATTAATTAATATACAGTACTAAACATTTGACAAATATTACATGTAAATGATTAAGTCATTAGAAAAAGTTAGGCATACTATTTCCCAAGCAATTATATATAGAAATGGTTTTAATGGATTGTTAGTATTATTTCTTTCAAGACTATTGGTTATAGTAGTTATTCTTGCCAAAGGAATAAAAGCAATAGCAGAATTCTGACTATGTTTTTATATTTTTACTTTTTATCTTTAAATCAGCCCATTTATTTATTCAGGAAACATTTATTGAGCATATACTATGTACAAAGCCTGTGAGTTAATGACAGGGTACACAGCAAAGTTGTGGTGAAGAAGAGATGATCACTACAAAAATTATCACAAATTCATAAACAGTTTAATACTATAAGCTGTAAAGTACAGTTATTATGAGATCACACCTCGAGGGACATTGTTTGATTTTGATGATTTGAAAGATGCCAGTTAGAGGGAGTGACATCTGGTTTGAGACTTGAAGGATGTAGTTGGCCATGGGAAGATAGTAGGAGATGAGATTCATAGGTAGGGAGTATAGAATGTGTGAAGAATCTGAGGAAGTAAAAGAAAGCCATGTGGCTAGAGTGAAAGGCCGGGGGGCATGGAGAACACTAAATGGGCCAGAAGGAGTAGAAGGGACTAAATCATGTAGGGTCTGTCGACCATCTTAAGGATTTTACATTTTCCTTGAGTACAATGGAAAGCCACTGAATGTTTTTCAAAAGGTTGATGACATAATCCAATTTATACTTGTAGGGACTGCTTTGGTCACTAAATGAAATTGGACTCGAAGGGTAGCAAGAGTGAAAGGAAAGAGATTAATTAGGAGGTTCTTGTAGTGTTCCAGAGAGAAGCATTGATGGCTCAAACTATGCAGTAGCAGTAGAGATAGAAAATCAATGGATTTGAGACATATTTTGGGAAAACAATTCACAGGTCTGATGATTGATTCCATTTTGGGAAGATTAGGGAGAAAGATAAGTCATGAATGACTCCCAAGTTTTTGCACTGAGGAAATGAAGGTGCCATGTATTGAAATGAAAAGCCTAGAGGTAGAGTAGATTTGAGAAAAAAGATGGCATTTCCCATTTTACAGTGAGAACCCGGAGGCTCAAAGAGCTTGGATTCTTATTCATAGATATATCTACTAGGCCAGAATTATATTACTATACCATCTTTGCAAACCGCATTTCCTTGAATAATTTCTGTGTCTGGTTTGATGTTATGATACCTTTTGCCTCCACCCATGGTCATCCAGAGTAATGGCACTATTCCATTTGTCTGCAATAAAATTTATATTGTATTGTTCCATTGGATATGTAAGTCCTCTTAAAACTTACAAAGACACTGTAGCCAATATAGAACCCTTCAACTCAGATCCTGCATGAGAAGAGGAAGCTAACCTCTCCATTGACAGTGCAGGACCTGAGCTGTGGCCAGTGGATGGATAGCAGTGCTGTAATCAATACTATGCTACTGAGTGCTGTTGGGATCTTTATAGACCCGTAGGGCTGATCCTACCCAGCCCTTAATCTTTCCTGAGCTCCAGATTAGAGGAAAAATTGGTCCACGTAGGACTTGAGGCATTTTGCTATGGTGGCAAGGAGCACAGGTTTGAAGACAAACACCCTTGGGTCCTGCTAGCTAAGTGACTTTGGGAAAGTCACTTAAATTTTCCCTGCTGTGATACCTTCATGTGCAATAATAGCATCTATTTCATTAGGCTGATATGAAGATAAAGAGATACCCCAAGTCAAGAGCCTTACCTGGGATGTGGTAAACCTGCCGTAAGCAAGAGCTCTGTTTTCCAGCCACTTAGTTCCCAGTGGAGATAACTTTCCTGAAGCACATATACACTCTCTGATGCTTAGTAAACCTCCACAGTTGTTATTTCCCATCCCTCTCAGTAAAGCTAGAAACCTTTGATATAAAGAACTACAATATTAAAAGAAAAATGTAAAAAATAGTAAATGGCTTTCTCTTCCTCACTTATTTCACTTAGCATAATTTTCTCCAGGTCCATCCATACTGTCCCAAAGGGTACAAGAACCTTCTTCTTTACTGCATAGTATTCCATGATGTGTATGTCCCACAGCTTTTTTATCCACTCATCTACTGATGGGCACTTGGGCTGTTTCCAGATCTTAACTATTGTAAACTGTGCTGTTATAAACATAGGGGTGCATATATTCTTTCTGATTAGTGTTTCAGGATTCTTAGGACATATTCCTAGAAGTAGGATCACTGGGTCAAAAGGCAGCTTCATTTTTATTTTTTGAGGAACCTCCATACTTTTTTCCATAGTGGTTGCACCACGCTACATTCCCACCAGCAGTGTACTAGAGTTCCCCTTTCTCCACATGATCTCACTTATATGTGGAATCTAAAGAACTTCATAAACTGATGAACAGAATAGATTCGATGACATGGAAGCATAGATGAGACTGATGAATGTCAGAGGGATGGAGGAGGACGGGTGGGTGGAGGGGAAGAGAGTAACCAAAGAATCTATGTGCATATATGCACAACCCAAGGACATGGACAATGGTGGGAAGAGGGACTGGGGAAGGGGGTGGGATGAGGTAGAATGGGTCATTGGGGAGATAAAGGGACATTTGTAATATTTTAAATAAAAATAAATAAATAAATAAATAAATAAATAATAGTAAATGGCAAAATTCCACTGGCAAGTCTTTGAACTTTAGATACCAAATAAGCCCAATTTTTTAAAATAATGAATTGACTCAAGTTCTCAGAGCCACATCCTCTTCAATTCTCCTCACTTTATCAGAATTCTCTGATAATTCCCTTTGCTCTGTTTAGCTTATTTAGACATTGCTTTCATTTACTTGGAAGCTTGGAGGAGAATGCACAGATATACTTACCATACATCTTGTCATCTGATGAGTCATCTAGTCAACTCACATCCACTTCTGTAAAGCAATATACATATCCCTCAGGAAGTTAAGTAATGTCAGAGGGACAAGGCTTCTTGTTGGGGCTCTAGAGGATTCCTGAGATATCCGGCAACACCTTTATTCTTTAGGCCATAGATTTTGCCCTGGGTATTGAGATCTCTGGTGTATTTCCCCTTGTCTGTGGCCGCCATCATGAAGATACTCGTGTTCTGCCTGAGAGGCACAGACACCATTAATCTGTAGGCATCTTGCCTTGTGCAGTTCCTTACAGATCCGATTGACACTGAGGATTCTCTGTCTAAAGCAATTTGTGAAAACTAAGCCTTTAAGAAATTCAGTTCTTACTTCTTTCTGGATGTTACTAACCAAAGGCAAAACCAAAAGGACAAAGAAAAAAATTATTCTGAACGTTAATATCAAAAATATTTTTCAGTTCGCTCACAGGCACAAAGAGAGAACTGAATATTATTGTTGTATCATCATTTCCCAATGAGATAGCAAATTTCTTTTAAAACACCTTTTAATCGTATAAGTCTACCTAAGTTGACAGTAACGTGGCAAGTAGAGTATCACAGGGTGATAGCTGAGCAGTACTCCTTGCAGGGAGTTAGGTTGTCATTGTGTTACTTCAGCAAGATCAATCTCAACCTGCCTCCGCCTTCCCTCTGTAGCATGCATTCAGTTAAACAAATATTTGATTTCTGCTCTTTCACTGATTCCTAAGTGAATTCTCCTGTGCCTGTCTGGTTTTGGAAGTAGAGGTGTGCCTTGGTTTACAGACCAGATAAACATGTGTTTAAATAAGTGCCTGTAATTTAATTTTAAAATCCCTTATGAAACTAGGTTGGTAATAGAAATTCAAGGAAAATACATTAATAAAAACTAAAAATTTGTTCAAACCTTTGCAACTCATAATCTTATAATTTTTAACTATTAATTTAATATTATACTTGCTGTAATAAGAAATATTACTAGGAATAAAAAATTTAATTTCCCACTATTTACAGTGATCTTAATTTCTTTATCCTAAGGACATTGGGATAAGAAACATGTTCATAAGCGGCTTCAACTGTAGATATATTTTATTTCTTAAAAAAGATACAAAGCAAATATAAAATTTTTTAAATTTAAGAAAATTAGATGGTAAGTACATGGGTGGGTGTTATATTATTTTACAATACTTTTTCTGCTTGAACTATTTCACAATAAAATTTGGGAAAAAAATATATTTATGTTATTCATACTTTCCTCTTTTTTTCCTTATTGCTGTAGAAAGTATTTATCTTCTCTGGAACATTTAGAAAAAACTTGGATCCCTACGAACAGTGGAATGATCAAGAAATATGGAAAGTTGTAGATGAGGTAAGGGTGCTAACTAACATATTATAAAGAGGTAGTTCATACACACACAAGAGTGGTTGTCATAGCTGAGATAACTTTACACCCTGTGTATGTGTGTGTGTATACAACTTGTCATCGAAGAACTCTAACATTCCTGGAGCACCCAGTATGGATTAGACCTCCTTCTTTCCTCAGTGTTTAGTCTCCATCTATCAGGCCCCAGAGGGAGCATTTCTTTGGCCTTCCCCACCAATGTGCATCAATGAGACATGAACTGGGAGAGACCCAGGCATCTACGGCACACCAGGATTATTCCTGATACAAAGAATCTCTCTACACCTTCTCATCTACTCCCTGACTGGGTTTTGAAGCGTACCCAGCAGAAGGAGGAAGCTTTGCTTTGACATGATGTATTTCTCCAGGAAGCATGGTTTTAACACATAAAGATGATGATCATTCTAGAGCGCTTGCAGATGACTACAGTCTTCTCTGGAAGCCACCAGGAGTCAACTGCCTTTAGGGAATGTGTTGGCTATGAGTGCTTCTAGGCACAATGCCACATGACCTACATAAGGTATACATCCCTTGAGGTCATTAAGGCACCATATAGGACATGTATGGGTTAAAACAGAATCAAAATTCTTAAATAACACACTGTATTTATCCAATAGGTAGTTTATTATATTTGAAAGTATTATACACAGGAATTTGGGGTGAGGAAGAGAGCTGGAGTGAAATGCTTGGTTCCTTTAACAAAATACCCTAACTAAACTTACAATTTTTTTTTAATATATCTTTATTGATTTCAGAGAGAGGAAAGGAGAGGGAGAGAGAGATAGAAACATCAATGATGAGAGAGTCATTGATCAAGCCCGCAACTGGGGCATGTGCCCTGACAGGGAATCGAACCCCGATCACCTGGATCCCAGGTCGACGCTCAACTGCTGAGCCACTCCTGGCCGGGCTAAACTTACAATTTTTGAAATATAGGCATTATATTAAGATAAGGGGGAACATAAATTGCTCTATTTCATTAAACTTGAGTTTAAGTTCAAGGCTCTGGATGATGACAGTCTACAAATATGGGACCTAAGAACTTTGAGATTCAAAGGTCTTTTTAGGGAACAATATTATTCCACTATTTCCTGTATTGTTGGTCCTTGTAGCACAATTCTGTTTATCCCAAGTGTTCTTTCCTTGTCTACCTTCATTCAGAGTGGATCTTTCCAAGAGCTTTGAAATATCTGTGAGTGTGAAACACTTCTCCATTGAGTGCCCAACCTTAACATGCCCCTAATAAAATGCACTTAGATTAACCGTTTTCAGTATCAAAGTTCCTTATTACCCAACAAAGGGGAGGGGGGGTTAAGAAAACATTAACTAAATTGCAGGTGACACATTTTGAGATCTTTGATGTGGCTTCCAAAATGAACTTTAGGTACACAATGTCGTGGGAGAGAAACTTGCAAAGGAAGGCATTAGACTATAAAATCTGCAAATATTACCAAATCAAAATAAAATTTACAGGAAATCGGGATCATAAAAATATCTCAAATGTTAGAAGACATGGTTAAGATTTTAAATACCAATGGAATACAAAAATTTTACCTGTTTTGATTTTTATTTGAGCAAATTGTATTGAGGTATACCTTTTTACTGATCATCTTTTTAATAATTTGATAATGGAGATGTTAATCCTGTCCCTACAGTAATGTCATGTGCTTTGAGAAGTGGTGATAAGTTTTTGCTGCAGAGGCCTGAAAATTGCATACAAACAAATAAGCAATAGCCCAGAGAAGCAGAAAAGGCATTGGTTTAAAAGTTATAGGCCCTGGGCTTTAGTCCTAAATGTTTGATCATATAACATTTCCAAACAGAAATATTTGGGGAGGGAGGGCAGGTGTCATTTTGTAAACTGGGCAGGATACTGGGGAAAATGGTGTAAGGCAGGATGACCTGGGACAAACCAGGATGTATGCCATATTATCAAGTACTCTCTGTGACCTTGGCATGACTCATGTCTTTAGAAGGAAATAAACTGAATAAAGGCAACAGCCAAACTCATGAATCTTATCCCAACAGCACCTCCTTCATAATTCCCCTTTTCCCAAATGAAAATCACATGCACATGCAATGACAACACTGGACCAGGAAACACTTTATTCCTATCTTGGATCTGGATCGTAACTCCAGTGTGAAACCTTATCCTTGCTGACATAGACTAGATTGTGTGAAAACATGAGGATCATGCCTAGTTAGTAACTCTAAGGTTTGGGAGCAAGCTGGCTGAAACAGCTCCCTGTCCCTTTGTGCTGTAGGCCCATACCTTCATCTTGGCACTTTGTGAACTGAGATGGTCTAATTTCCACATCCCAAAACAAATCAGAGAACGATAGCTTCTCCCCAGAATGACTGATTTTACCAGCTATATGGACAAAGAGAATCTCAAAACAAACCCCTAGGTTTGTGGCCCAATAACTTGATAGCATTGTTATAACATTTTAAAATATATTTTTTTATTTTTCAATTACAGTTGACATACAATATTATATTAGTTTCAGATGTATAACAGTGATTAGACATGTAGTTATAAAGTAATCATCCCAATAAATCTAGTACCCATCTGATGCCATATATAGTTATTAAAATATTATTGACTATATTCCCTGTGTTGTATTTTACATCCCCATTCTGTAACTACCAATCTGTACTTCTCAACCCCTTTCCCTTTTTCTTCCATCCCTCCAACCCCCTTCCCATCTTGCAACCATCAAAATGTTCTTTGTACCTCAGAGTTTGTTTCTGTTTTGTTTGTTTATTTTGTCTTTTAGATTCTACACATAAGTGAAATCATATGGCATTTGTCTTTCTCTGTCTAACTTACTTCACTCAGCATGATACCTTCTAGGTCCATCCACATTGTTTCAGATGGCAAGATTTCATTTTCTTTTATGGCTGGTCATATTTCATTGTATATATGTACCATTTCTTTATCCATGCAAGCTTTGTTTGGTTTCCATTCCATGAAATACTTTTCCATCTCTTTACTTTGAGTCTGTGTGTCTTTCAATCTGCAATGAGTCTCTTGTAGACAGTATATGTAAAGGTCTTATTTTTTATCTATTCAGCCACCCTTTGTCTTTTGATTGGAGCAGGAGCATTTAATCTGTTTACATTTAAAGTAATTGTTGATAGATATGTAATTATAGCCATTTTTAATCATTATTATTATTATTAAAAAAGTCCATTTAGCATTTCTTATAATATTGGTTTGGTGGTGATTAACTCCTTTAGCTTTTTCTTATCTGAGAAGTTTTTGATCTCTCCTTTAAATTTAAATGATAGCCTTGTTAAATACAATGATCTTGGTTGTAGGTCCATGTTTTTCATCACTATGGATAATTCATGCCAATCCTTTCTGGTTTGCAAAGTTTCTGTTGAGAAATAAGCTGACGGTCTTATGGGAACTCCCTTGTAGATAACTAACTGTTTTTCTCTTGCTGCTTTTAAGATTCTCTCTTTGTCTTTAACCTTTGGCATTTTGATTATGTCGTGTCTTTGGGTTCATTTTGTTTGGGATTCTCTGCACTTTCTGGGCTTGTATGTCTATCTCCTTCACCATGTTAGGAAAGTTTTCCATCATTATTTCTTCAAAAGGTTTTCAATTCTTTGCTCTCCCTCTTCTCCTTCTGTTACCCTTATGATATAAATGTTGGTATGCTTGAAGTTGTCCCATAGGCCCTTTCAACTATTCTCACTTTTTTGGATTCTTTTTGCTGTTCTGATTGGGTGTTTTCTTCTACCTTTTCTACAAATCTCTGATTCAGTCCTCTGCTCCATCTCATCTACTGTTGATTTCATTTAATGTATTCTTTATTTCAGTAATTTTATTCTTCATTCTGACTGGTTCTTTTTTATGTTTCCTATCTCTTTGTTGAAATTCACACTAAATTTATCTACTCTTCCCCTAAGTTCACTGAGGATCCTTATAACCAGTGTTTTGATTCCCACATCTGGTAGATTACTTGTCTCCATTTTGTTTAGTTCTTTTTCTGGAGTTTTGTTTTGTTGTTTCATCTGGGACATGTTTCTTTGTTTCCTCATTCTGGCTGCCTCCCTGTGTTTGTTTCTTTTTTAAAATATGTTTTTATTAATTTTTAGAGAAAGAGAAAGGGAGATGGAGAGAGAAAGAGAGAGAAACATCAATGTGTGAGAAACATTGCTGCCTCTTTCACACACCCTGACTGGGGATTGAGCCTGCAACTTGGGCATGTGCCCTGACGAGGAATTGAACCAGTGACCTTTCAGTGCACGGGACGACACTCAGCCAACTGAGACCAACCAGGACATGTTTCTATGTATTAGGTAGAGCTGCTATGTCTCCTGGTCTTGGTAGAGAGGCCTTATGTAGTAGGTGTCCTATGCAACACAGTGGCACAGTCTCTATGGTCACCTGAGCTGGGCACTCTATGTGTGTCTCTTGTGTGTGTTGTGTATACTTTCCTGTTGTAGTTGAGCCTTGATTATTGTTGGCATGTCAATGAGGAGGATTGACCCTTAAGCTGATTTGTTATGGGTCTGCTTGTGATTACAATGGAGGAGCTTTTGTCCAAGGACTCAACCTATGGAACAGGATTCACTTTAGTGGGGCTCTGATACCTGCTGAGTCTCCCTTTTGGGAATATCATTTGTGGAGGTGGCTGGGTGGTGCTCTGGTGTGGTCTGATGCTGGCCACTGAGTGTGTTGGTTTTAGGGCCCCTTGGGAGGTTCAAGTCATGGCCAGCTACTACTGTGCCCTTCCCTGGGCCACCTGGTATGAGGTACAAAGTGATCCACAGATAGGTGCCACTTGAGCTGTGCTTGGAAGTGCCTCGGAGAGGTTAAGCTGTGAACTGAGGTCTGCTGCTTCTGTTCCTAGGTTTGGGGATGCTTAGCAAGTGGTACAGGGCTTGCTGAGGCTGTGTCTTGTTTGTTTGGGGTCTGTGAACTTTTGAGAGATTTTAGAAAAGTCTAAAGCATG